TATAATTACACTTTTGAATAACGTGGCATTGTGGTAAAATACGGGAGTATGACTACACTGATGAAAAATGTGGCACTCATGAAAGGTGTAGCAGTGTGACTATATTCATAAATATCGTGGCACTCGTGGAAATTATGGGAGTATGATTACACCCGCCAACTCTTGGGATACTCTTTTACCAACGAATAGTGGGATTGACTGCCACGTTATAACGCCCCCACGGCTGAAAGGGTGAGCACGTTTGTTGTGACCCTCAGACTGCGAGTCGAGCGTCCTAACCACCTGGCCATGCCGGGCCACCCATGATGAATGAAAAGTTGTCTTAGGACATGAAACGTTGCTTCCCTATGTAATTCTAAAAGAACGCAAAAACCGCAAAATTAAAAAAAAAAAATGCACACATTTCTCCATGAACCCAACAAACCTTCATGCCAATTTTATTGAAGGTCCATCAACAAGGGGCGAAGCAATGGTAAAAAACGCAAAAACGCCTATAAAAACCGCAAAACTGAAAATTTGCATGTACCCCCTCATGGACCTAATGAACCTTCATACCAAGATCCATCTACACCCTGCGAAGTAGTTACATGGCCAGACAACAGATAGTACTATTATATTTATAATTAAAACAAACGAGTACTATTTCACTGGCAGCTAGAGCAGGTGTAATGACTACATGTTGTTTAGATCTACACTGTTTGTTAACGACATATTACTCAGAGAACTCTGACATTTATATATACATAAAACTAATCCTCTCAAACGACCGCATTCAAAATCGCTTTGTTCCGTTTGTCTGAAGGCTTATAATGCTAAAATTTGGGTTTCGATACCCGTGATGTACAGAGTACAAGCACCCTATCGCGTAGTTCTGCGCTTAACAACAAACAAGCCAACAAGTTTCTTTGTTTTAGTGCAAACCTCCGTCCACCAGGGGGAATGGGACCCACGATTTTAGCTTTGTAAGTCCATGAGTTTACTACTGAACCACTAGGGGTCATTTTGTTTAGAACTTCGAAATTGATGATTATAAACAACAAGTTTAAGTTGTGGCAACTCGATCACGTAAAACGAACGAACCGTTAACATTACCGAGTTGTAGTTGTAAACCAGAAAATAGATGTGAAAAATAGATTACTCATTTATGATGTCACGCCTTTAGGTCAATTTTAACCACAACCCACCTCCTACATACACATAATCGCCCCATAAATATCATACTAATTGTAGCGAAGTAACAAAAAACCGTTTAGTTTATATTTTCTTTTTTATTATTGTTGCAAATTGTTTTTTAAATTCCTCTACGTTCATAGGACTCAATTCCCTTTGATATTGGCTATGGTATTAATCCTAAAAACTTATATTTTTATTTAAACAATTGTAAGACTCAAAAAGCATTAAAAGTGAAAAAGGAAAAAAACAAACAATCCCCCCCATACCTCTCTCCTTATTTTCAGTTGTCATGCTTATTCCACTTCTCCCCCTCCTGAACTGTGAACGTCCCAAGTTATACATAACTATAGAAATTCATTTGCCTCTCCTCCCTTTGGTTAAAGACACAAGTTTAAGGAAAATAAAGTTGTATTTTGTTCTTCTGCCCCAAGAAAAAAATACAGCAACAACAAAAAACAATCTTAACATGCACAATGGGTAGAATTTTGTACACTTTACATACGTAACACCGAATCTCAAATAAACCTTTTTTTTATTTAATCATGCCATTCATGATTCACTTATCTGTCACTTGTACTTTATACATTTATTTTATTTATTTATTTAAGGATGAGACACTTATTCAACACTGTCCGATAAAAAAGTAAATATGAAACTCCTAAAGCCAAAATTGCTAATAATTTTTTCAGTTACTAGGGACAGGGCTATGCAAAGGCAGAATAGGCAACTGCCTAGGGCAGCGAATTAAAACAAAATATATCGAATAAAAGGGGCGACAAAAATGTGAAGAATTATGTTTATATTGTTACGTCTCTGGTCGTTTGTTAATTTCTCGTAAAAATTCTTTCCGAAGAAGTTCGGAGATACAAGTCTTTTCTTAAATCAAACTAGTTTATT